AAAGAGCCTCCCAGAGAAGAGCCAGTGCAAAAGCCCAAGGAGGCATGGAGGTCAGTAAGGTTGAAACCTGAGACAGTGAGGCAGAAAGTAATAGGATAGAGGAGGTCAGAGGCCAGTACCCAGCAGTCATAATGAAACTAGGTGGTGGTTACTCAGGGGTTACATGAGTCTCTCTGTACATTGAAATATTTACTGATTTAAAAAACTAATTGTCTTAATCTGTTCAGGCTGCTATAACAAAGTACTGTAGACTGGGTAGCTTAACCCATTGACATTTATTTCTCACAGCTCTGGAGACGGGGAAGTGCAAGATCAGGATGCCAGCATGGCTGGGTTCTTGGTGAGGGCCCTCCTACGGTTTGCAGACAACCACCTCCTTGCCGTATCCTCACGTAGTAGAGAAAGAAAGGACACTAATCCCATGATGGAGACCCCTCCCTCATGACCTCATCTATACCTAACTGCCTTCCAAAGGCCCCACCTCCAAATCCATCACATTGCGGATTAGGGTTTCAACATATTAATTTGCGGGGGGGAACACAAATATTCCGTCCATCACAGTAGTTATAGATTGTGGTAATAGCTTTGAGGGAAATAAAGGGAAATGACAGGGAGTAATGAAGGTGTGGTAGGTGGGACACAGCTGGGAGAGCAAGTGATTGGGGAAAGCCTCTCTTAAGGTGACATAAAGCAGGCTAAGGAACCATCTGCATTGGAAGAGCCAAAGGAAGATCGTTCCAGGCAGACAGCACTCGCTGTAACTGCAGTGACCCTGCGTCCGCAGGGTTGTTTGAAGCACAGAAATGAGACACTGTCCAGAGCCAGAGCATAGTGCGTGAGGGCTGAACATTGGAGAGGCGGGCCGAGCCAGGTCGTTCAAGTTCTTGCAAGCCCTAGGAAGGATTTTCGATTTTATTCTAAGGGCATCGAAGGATTTGAACTGGCAGGTGATAGGGTCAGATTTGTCTTTTTGGAAAATCTCTCGATGCTGTGTGGAGAATGACTGCTCCAGTATCTCTTTCTTCAGGGTTGGAATGACTAGATCCCACTCTGAAAGCCTGGGAGTCGTCTTCACTTGTACTTTTCCTTCTCCCCCAACTCATTCATCTGCTGCTGCCACTGAGCCTGCCGGGGTCTCACTTCTTCCACAGATTCATCCTACATGCAGCCGTCACAGTGACACACTTGAGATCCAGACGTGAACTCCCCTGATTAAAACCTCTCGTTGGAGCCTGGATGGTTATTTCTCTTGGTAGTCTGCTGTAACTGTAAAGTTACCAACAAAATATCCAGTTGTTCCCCTTGCCCAGAGCATAAAGTCCATGTTCCTCGCCCAAGGTCTTCCCTGATCTGGGACCTGTTCACTTTTCCGGCTGGTTTCTCCCTGCTCAGAGCCTCGTACTTTATGCCCAAGCCACTCCATGCTGCCTGGGGTTCCCCCAAATATGTCGCCTCCACTTCATGTCATTTCCAGTGCTCTGGCTGCTGCCTGTAAGCGCAGTGCGAAGACATTGCTCAGGTTCTCATTCCCGCTGAGTAACGTTTAGCTGTGAGACCTTGGGCAAGTTATTTACATTCCCTGAGCCTCAGTTTTTTTCACCTGTGAGTAAGGATTACTAGCACACACCTCAGAGGGGTCTGGGGAGGGTCCAGTAAGATAGTGCCTGGGAAGTTCCTGCCACTACATTTGACTCGTTTCTCTCTCCCACATGACTTTGTGAGAATAGAGACCATGTCTCATTTATCTATATAGCCTCAACCTTCTCATAGTGCCTGGCATATGGCAGATGTACAGTAAATATTCATTCACTTAATTAAACTAAGCAAATCATTCCCATTTATGAATTTGCATTTGTTTCCCCACTGTTTGTATTTCTTTTTTTTAATAAATGTATTTATTTATTTATTTTTGGCTGCATTGGGTCTTTGTTGCTGCACGTGGGCTTTCTCTAGTTGCAGCGAGCAGGGGCTACTCTTCGGTGCGCGGGCTTCTCACTGCGGTGGCTTCTCTTGTTGCAGAGCATGGGCTCTAGGCACGTGGGCTGCAGTAGTTGTGACACGCAGGCTCAGTAGTTGTGGCTCCCGGGCTCTAGAGCACAGGCTTATAGCGCAGGGGCTTAGTTGCTCCGCAGCATGTGGGATCTTCCTGGACCAGGGCTCGAACCCACGTCCCCTGCATTGGCAGGCGGATTCTTAACCACTGCACCACCAGGGAAGTGCTGTTTGTATTTCATTAATCTTGAAAACTCAAGCTCCACGCCAGTTCTTTGCCAGCTTTTCCCTCTGCCATCTACCACACCAGCTCTCTCTTCAGATCCCCAGCGCTCTCTCTGTGGTGGTTGCTGGGAACACTGTTTTCTCATATTTCCTTCCTTCCTCTCATCTGCAAGCCCAGCATTTTCATCTGGCTAACCCCCTATTCATCCTTTAGGCCCCAATTTAATGACTTCTCCAGGAAATCTTTCCTAACCATTCACATCACCGCCACTGTGGGCTGAGGGTCTTCTTAATTTGTTCTGATATCCTCTTTTGTTACTCGCTCATTAGCACTTATCAGAGTGTATTGAAAACACCAATTTATTCTTCTCTATTCCTTGCTCAATTTTAAGCTCGGAGAGGGCAGAGGCCATCTCTTTCAGGTTCACCATTGTATCACACACTCCTGACACAGAGAATTCCGTAATACATATTTGTTGAGAAAAATGTTAATCCATCATCACAGGCTTGAAATTTTTCTCTGCCACTTACCTTGGACAGAGGATGTAGCATGTCTGAGACTCCAGTTCCTCATCTGTAAAAATGGCTTAATACCTACTAGGATTGTTTTGAGGATTAAATGAAATAATGCATGTAAAGTGCTCAGAAGTGTTCTTAGCCACATTGAGTGCTCAGAGGTTGGCAGTTGTTATAATAGAGGGAAAACAGTAAAGGGTGCCACAGAGACCCGAATTGAGGGAAATAAGATTGTGCTCTAGGAGATAAGGCATGTTGTGGATCAGAACAAGGGTAGATAAATTCACCTTTATGCCCCTAAATGTCTGTAGTTATTTCAACCCTGTGGGGATGAAGTGTTGAACACCGACTACGTATAAAGCAAATTGCTAGGTGCTGTAAGGATTACAACAATTACTAAGGCATGATTTCTGCCCTTAAATTGCTTAAAATACAGTGTGAGTAGTGGAAGTTAAGACATGTTTTTTAAAATAACTAAGAGGAGTTTAATGGGTATAGAGTTTCAGATTCACAGGATGAAATAGTTCTAGAAACCTGTTTCACAGCAATACAAATATACTTGACACTACTGAACATTACACTTAAAATGGTTAAGATGGTAAATTTTATGGTTTTTGTGTTGTTTTTAATTTATTTTTGGCTGCGTCGGGTCTTAGTTGTGGCACGTGGGCTCTTGCGTTGCAGCCCGCCAGCTTCTCTCTAGTTGTTTTATCTGAACCTTGATAGATTGGATGCATGCCTTACTGACCTTTTTTCCTTTTTTTTTTTTTTCCCCTCTTCTGCAGTACTATATCTTGTGTGGGCTTTTATTCCTGAATCTTGGCTAAACTCCTTAGGCTTAACCTATTGGCCTCAAAAGTAAGTTCAATGTATTTCTTAAATAAAGTAAAAGTATATCAATGCTGTTTTGAAGGATCAGGTTTTTTCTTAAGACTTATGCAAATCTTATATTTATTCTTTTAAGATCCATAAATAGCCATATAGAAATTTAAAGCTTTTTAAAGTTGATTATTGATACGCTTCTATTTAAAGATGGTGGACTAAATGCACATCTTTATCTCTACTTCCTCCCAAAATCTTGTTAAAATAAGCCCATAGAAAAAAATAATTGTTAAGCTATAAACCCACAGGAGCAAATAACGGGATAGTGGAGGTGTATCAATAAAATCTTGGGAAGTGGATTGCAGATAGGTGAGAGGTGACTAACTGAATTTCCACTTTCCCACATTGCTAAAGCAGGGAAGCCAGCCAGAGCCTCTGTGCCCACAACACAGAGAGGCCCAGACATTGGAGGTACGGGTACCTCTTTAACATGGTATTTCTGGGTTGGGCTGAAAACAGTGTTTAAAGAGCATTCAACCCTCAAATCCCCCTCCTCAGCCCTTAGAGCTGGAGACCAACCCTCCCCTGCAGAAGACAGGAGTTTTATGCTCTGGAAAGGCTGAGTGAGAGTCTCTAGTCTGGGGGACACTAGGTCTAACTAGGCACGTTACTGAAAACAGGGATCAGTGAAAATCTGCATTTCTGAATAGTGAGATTCCTCCCAAGCACCTTTCCTCACTAGGCTCTCAGGCTTGTGGTTGGCAGGCTTATACCACCCGCCTCCTCCCAGCAAGATAGGAGGGTCCTCCCTGAAGAAGTTGACCAGCTCAAGAGAAAGGGTCTCTAATTTCTGATAATTAGAGATCCTCCAATGGAATGGCCAGGTCTCCCATAGTGTGCGTCTCCAGTTGGCCATCCCAGCCCACATATGCACAGTGCTTCCAATTAGCTTGTTAGTAGTTCATCTTTATATTTTTATATTTTTATGTCTCCCTGGCCGCCTCCCTGCCTTCATCTTTACATATGAATGGGCAACTTATCAGACATTAAAAGAAAGCCTCTAAAATGAAATACAAGAGAAAAAAGCAAAAAAAGAAAAGAGAAAAGAAACTTGAAGAAAATGTAGATAATGCAAAGAGCAGAAGAAAACTTTAAAATAAAATCCTCAGAGATAAAAAAAAGATTATAACTATGAAACAACAGGATGCTATAAAATAGGGAATGTTCAGAGAATTACTGCATTTGGAAATTATGGTAGCCAAAATTAACATTTTGATTGAAGGTTTAGAAGAAACACCAAAAGTAATCTCCAGAAAGTAGGACAGAGTACAGCAAAATAGAAAATAGAGAAAAGATGAGGAAAGTATGACAGCAAAAAAGCTCTTAGAAGTTCCAGAAAGAGAAAACAGTAGGGAAGAAATTATTAAATAATGCACCCAATAAAACGTGAGGTAGAGCATTTGATGTGTTTAACTGTATTAAGAGGCATACTAGATTCTATCAGAATTTGAGGATTGAGTATTGATAGGTACATGGGAAACCAAGCAAACAGACAAAAAGTAATTAATTTCCAGGAAAAACAAAAAATTGTACAAGAAGACATATAATAATAATACGTTACAGTTGCAAATATTATTTATATATACATCTTTATCTCCATATTAGGATGTTCAGAGAAAATGTCTGAAGTTTATAAAGTCAAGAAATAGTAATAGGAGTATGTTATGTAGGAAGGTGGAGGTAAACACCAGAAGAAACAGCTTAGGTGCTGAAGGTGTTTCCTACTGGGAAGAAAGACACCAGGGCTCAAACAGGGGTACAAGATACCAGCTTCACTGTAGGCCAGTAGAACTATTGGACTGCCTTTTAGGTACATGTATTATTTCAGTCAAAGCTAAAATTAAGTTTAAAAGTGTATTAACTTGGTGATGAACTGTAGAGAACTGCAACTTTTTAGGAAGTCTGCTACCTACTTTAATATTCTTTTCTTCAGATACTGGGCAGTTGCACTGCCTGTGTACCTCCTCATTACTGCAGTGATTGGTTACGTACTCTTATTCGGGATAAACATGATGAGTACCTCTCCACTCAACTCCATTCATACAATCACAGGTAAATTTATATCAAAGGAAAGTGCCGGGGGTTGGAGGAGTCGGGTATTGACACTTTTGTCAAGAAAAGCAGGGACTTCCCTGGTGGTCCCGTAGTTAAGACTCCGTGCTCCCGGAACTTCCCCGGTGGCGCAGTGGTTAAGAATCCTTCTGCCAATGCAGGGGACATGGGTTCGATCCCTGGTCCGGGAAGATCCCACATGCTATGGAGCAACTAAGCCCGTGTACCACAGCTACTGACCCCACGTGCAGCAACTACTGAAGCCCACGTGCTCTGGGGCCCATGTGCTGCAGCTACTGAGCCCACATGCTGCAACTACTAAAGCCCATGCACCTAGAGCCCGTGCTCCACAACAAGAGAAGCCACCGCAATGAGAAGCCCGTGCACCGCAGCAAAGAGTAGCCCCTGCTCACCACAACTAGAGAAAGCCCGCACGCAGCAATGAAGACCCAACACAGCCCAAATAATAATAATAATAATAAATAAACCTAGATCATTAAAAAAAAAAAAAAAGGCTCTGTGCTCCCAGTGTAGGGGGCCCAGGTTCAATCCCTGGTCAGGGAACTAGATCCCGCATGCCACAATTAAGAGCCTGCATGCTGCCACTAAAGGAGCCCACATGCCACAACTAAAAAGATCCCACATGCTGCAACTAAGACCCAGCACAGCGAAATAAATAAATAAATACTTTTTAAAAAGAAAAAGCAACAAAGAACAGGCTGTAGTAATTGACACACATCAGCATAGTAAAAAAAACTGGGAGAAATAAATACGATTATACCAGAGGAAATGTTCACATGGCACAAATAAGCTGTCATGAATATGCTGTTTATTACACTAGTTAACAGGTATATTTTCCCATAAAAACCACAAGTATGTAATATGTTCCTTGGCAACTTTGCCTGAGAGAAACTTCTTTTATCCTAAACAAGCTGTGTTGATCAAGGGATGACAAAGAGGTCCATACAGACCTTGTCTAGGAGGAGGAATTTGGGGGTGTGTATCCTCAGGATCACTGTGTACACCTGACCGCAATTAAGTGTATAGAAGAGCCACAGCATGTTTTCTGTAGTTGTTGTTAAGTTCTTTTATTTCAAGTCTAAAGATTAAAGTAGATTCCTGGGAGTTCCCTGATGGCCTGATGGTTAGGATTCCCGGCTTTCACTGCTATGGCCTGGGTTCAGTCTCCTGGTTGGGAAACTGAGATCCCACAAGCCGCGTGGCATAGCCAAAATTAAAAAAAAAAAAAAGATTCCTGAACTTGCTTGGATTCTAGGAAGCAAAGTATTTTTAAAGTTCTGGTGTGATTTTTTAACTTTTAGATATTGCTTTTCTGATAACCTACTGTGTTCCCTGCATACTTGGCTGGAATTACAGCAAATAGACAATTTGTACAAAGAGGGGAAATTGTTAAGTTTGCATGAATGATTGTACCAAATGATTGGGGTGTTGATATAATTCTGTTCCTATGAGAAATGTACAAATGGGGCTTGAATCATCATTTTACAGTTGAATGAAATATTAATATTTTTTAATTTATTTTTGGCTGCATTGGGTCTTTGTTGCTGCACGTGGGCTTTCTCTAGTTGTGGCGAGCGGGGGCTACTCTTTGTTGCAGTGCAGGGGCTTCTCATTGCAGTGGCTTCTCTTGTTGCGGAGCACGGGCTCTAGGCTTGCGGGCTTCAGTAGTTGCAGCACCCGGGCTCAGTAGTTGCGGCACACAGGCCCTAGAGCATATGGGCTCAGTAGTTGTGGCGCGTGGGCTTAGTTGCTCCGCGGCATGTGGGATCTTCCCGGACCAGGGATCGAACCCGTGTCCCCTGCTTTGACAGGCAGATTCTTACCACAGCGCCACCAGGGAAGTCCCTGAAATATCAATTTCTTACCCAAGTTAGAGGATGCAAAAAGTACTTGGCTGATTTTTATTCTAATTGGGACATTTCTTCTAAAGAGAGAATTTAAGGGGCCTTTTAATTATGTTAAACATGGTATTTGTCATTATCCAAACATTAGCCTAGTAAACTATGTGGTGGGTTTCCACAAACCACAGAGATTGTTGAAGAAATTCCTTGGGTAAACAGAGCCTTTTGTCCTCTTCTTACAGATAACTATGCCAAAAACCAACAGCCAAAGAAATACCAAGAGGAGGCCATCCCAGCATTAAGAGATATTCCTATTAGTGAAGTAAACCAAATGTTTTTTCTTGCAGCCAAAGAACTTTACACCAAAAACTGAATTGTACATAGACCACTACCAAACATTTATTACAAATTTTTGATGGAAGAATTTCGACCATAGTAATTTTGACTGTCTTTCTGATTAATATCCAGTATTGAAATGTTAAAAAAAAGGAAAGAAAAATGTAAGTTGAACTTCTCTTAGATTAAGTTCTATTAATATTATAAATGTTATCAAATAGTAGTTACTAATAGAGTAAATAAAATACTGCATTACCATATGGCAAGTGTCCCTCCAGAGAGGCATTCATGTTGTAATTTTCAAAGGGCAATTGTGTCCTTCCCACTGTTTGTTCTTAGAAGCCCAGAATTCAAATTCTTAGGTTTAGGAGAAGGGCACATTTAAAGTGTGTATCTCCCATCAGATTTGTGTCTCAGGGACGACTGCTTTAGATGGGGCAGTCGACGAAAGCTGCTGTGAGGAGGCAGTTGGGGTTGAGGTTTGATTAGCAAAAACAGGAGCCGTCACATAAAGATTAGAGGGTCAGCAGGGAGCTTCCAGTACGGAGCAGGCAGGACAGAGACCTTGGGTAGGAAGGAGGGAAGGAGCGTGGTGTGTCCTACGGCCAGGAGGCCAGCAGGGGGCCTAGCGCTTGCTGTGGGAGGGTGTGAGGGCTATGAGGACCAGTGTAAGAAGTCTGGGTTCATCTGTCAGTGTGATGGGTTTGAGGCCCTTCACATACTGAGCCATTAGGAGGCTTTGAGGAAAAGTGTGTCACGGCCTGATCTGTGTTTTTTAAAAGCCACGGGGAGGAGTTCCCTGGCAGTCCAGTGGTTAGGACCCTGCGCTTTCACTGCAGGTTCGCTCCCTGGTTGGGGAATTAAGATCCCACAAGCCACTGGGTGCGGCCAAAAAAAAATAAAAGTAAAAGCCACTGGGTGGTGGGTGGAGGGTAGGTTCAGGTGGGGGAACTGGGGACAGGGAAGAGTGTGGAAGTAGGGAGACTGGTCAGGAGACGATTGCATTAGTCCAGGCAGAAAATGCTTACCGCATAGAGCAGAGTGGTAGCTGTGGAGCTGTGCAGGAGCGCGTAGCTTTGCAGCATTTGTTGGAGACACAGCTGACTGGGTAGATGGATCTGACTGTACAGGGTAGGCAGGCTACTGAGAGGAGTTGTGATCAAGAGTCATTCCTAGGTTTATTTGAATTACTGAACTGAGTAGATGATTGCACCTTCTACTAAATCAGGCAGATTTGGGGAAGTGCAGTTGAGGGGGTTGGAGGATTTGGTAACTAACTATGGATTAGTTTGAGCAACGCTGCCGTATTAATATCTGGGTATGTCTCGTGTAAGATTAAGAAGCTTAGATAGAAATGTTTAAAAGAAACAAGCCACCCATAACTTAGCAGGAGTATACTCACAGTTGGCCAGGGGGACCAAATCTAAATTCATCTACCACTCAATGCCGCCTATCTTTTGATAACTTAAATCTCTACCCAGGTTTGGAGCCACACATTTTAATTTATGCAAACTTAACTATATTTTCTGTATTTAAAAATAAAAAAGGAAAGAAAGAAAAGAAAAAGAAACTAATAATTTTAAATAGTTGGGAAAACTAGGACTTCCATTTCAATAACCATATCCCTGCCCAGTAAGCATGAGATGGATAACGTGAATCTGCTGTTTCTGTTCCCTAATGAGTCCCAGTAAGGGTAAGGGCACGTCACCACACTGAAGAGCAGTTTGAGGCGACCAGCCAACTCTGTCAAGGGTAGAATGGTAAATAAGTTGTGTCCTGTTTATACAATGGAAAACGACACAGCCATGCAAATAAGAAACAAGAATGAAATTACTGCTCTACCTAGCGACGTGAGTGAAATTCACAATGTTGGGCATAAAAAGCCAGATATAAAGGAATATATATATATATATATACACACATATATATGTGTGTGTGTATATATGTGTATATATATATATACTGTATGATGCCATTTATATGAAGTTCAAAATCAGGAAAATAATTTTTAAACCTATGGTGATATATATTAGAATAGTGGTATTAACTAGGAGGCAGCATGAGAGAATCTGCTGGTGATTCGGAAATGCCCTACATCTTGATCTGGGTGGTAGTTACCTGGGAATAACGTATGTTTAGGAAAATAGTTATTATCATTAAGATTTGTGCACCTAATGTAAGTTATACATCAATAATGAGGTAAAGAACAGTACTGTGCCCCATCCCCAGAAATTTTGATTCATTGGTCTGGAGCAGGGCCCAGGCCGGGGTAATTTTTAATGTCACCCAGACACTTACAACAGGCAGCCAGGGTCAGAACTTCTGCCTTCATTGATTGGACTTAACTGACCCTGTGGTCAACCAGGGCAATGGCCATTCACTTTGGAAGAGAAAGTGGCAGTTAATAGAGCTGTCCTCTTCCCACCAAACTGGGGGCTACAATTCCTTTGAAGGTCATGATCAATTTAGTGCACCTGCCGCCTTATACTCATAAAGAGTAAGAGACCCAAAGAGTTTCTGTGTATGTGGATTATATTTAGAAATTAAAGTAGAAATTTTAAAAATATTTGTTTATAAATAATAAACCTGTTACATTTTGTTGTATTTAAGTAACATTTTATGAAAAATAACTATATTTTCCAGAACAAATTTAGTGAGACAAGTAGAATTGTTTAACATTTTTGCAAATCTGTTTAACATCTGGCTTAAAGGAAGACAGCTGGGTTCTCATATCTGCATCTGCATTCTGTTTTGGTACCACATGCTACAAAGCCTCTGGAAAACTCCACTGCATACTCACAAGAGAGTGAGTGTGAAGAAGACAAATAGCATCTTATTATTATTATTATGAAGATGGTTTTGACATCAGAGAACCCCTGAAAAGACTACACTTTGAGAACCACTGGTTAGTGGACCTCAACTAGAGTGTATGTGTGTGTACTAGAGTAGAATACATTATAGCGGAGCACATTGCACTTGGTAAATATCTTGATTGAACACCTTTTGTGGTCACTTCAGATCCTGTCTGTCCCACGTCTTATTCCAGCCACTGATGCTGCTTTGACCAGATCCACACAGGTGCCACCTGCCAGTGCACCCTGGAAGCAGGGGGAGTTGACACCATAGGACACCATGGGCAGGTGTTAAGCTCCCAAAGAACTGGTTCTGAGCTGCCTTTCCTGAGCTCCAGGCAGGTCTTACGAGCTTGAGCTATGGTTACCATGGCAATGGTGAACTCAGTATTGGCTCCTTGTCTTTGTTTTGCTTCCTTGTTCCCACTCCTCCCTAGTGTCACTTTTCAAATAAACTGCCTACACAAGCCTTTGTCACAGGCTCAAGCCTTTGTCACAGGCTCTGCTTTCAGGGGAACCCTGGCTGACAGGTTTGTATTTTGTAAAAATGTTGCTTCGGTTATAGGGCCATGATGTCTGATGCACTTCCCTGCTGCATCTCATAAGTTAAGAAAAACACTTGAAAGACACTGTGTTTTGTGGTGAGCCCAACTAATAGCATAAAGTACTCCAAATAAAAAATGTCAGTGACAGGGCTTCCCTGGTGGCGCGGTGGTTGAGAGTCCACCTGCCGATGCAGGGGACGCAGGTTTGTGCCCCGGTCCGGGAGGATCCCGCATGCCGTGGAGCAGCTGGGCCCGTGAGCCATGGCCACAGGGCCTGCACGTCCGGAGCCTGTGCTCCGCGACGGGAGAGGCCACAACAGGGAGAGGCCCGTGTACCACAAAATAAAATAAAATAAGTCCAAATATGAAACTACCTATGAAAAGCCAACAGAATTCAAATCCAAAATTCTGCCCTCCCTCATTTCTTTTTTTCTAGTTGTTTTTATTTTCTTTTCTGCTCACTTCTTTTATTTATTTATTTATTTATATTTTATTTCTGGCTGCATTGGGTCTTCGTTGCTGCACGTGGCCTTTCTCTAGTTGCGGCGAGCGGGGGCTACTCTTCCTTGCAGTGCACGGGATTCTCATTGCGGTGGCTTCTCTTGTTGCAGAGCACGGGCTCTAGGTGCACGGGCTTCAGTAGTTGTGGCTCGTGGGCTCTAGAGTGCAGGCTCAGTAGCTGTGGCGCACAGGCTTAGTTGCTCCACGGCATGTGGGATCTTCCAGGACCAGGGCTCGAACCCGCGTCCCCTGCATCGGCAGGCAGATTCTTAACCACTGCGCCACCAGGGGAGTCTGCTCCCTCATTTCTTTTTCTTTTTTTTTTTTAACATCTTTATTGGAGTATAATTTCCTCGTTTCTTAACCTGCCCGCTTTTAGCCAGAAGGATCTCAATCAAGTGCCTGGATTTTCTCAAGAAGCTGCTCCCTAGGCATCCATCAGAACAGGTGTCACTCCTTAAGCAAATGGATTCAATCAAAAATGTCTTGTATATCACACTTCTTCAAAGAGTCGGTAGGACACACAATTTCGTATTATTAGCCCTGTGCCTTAGAAAACCCAACCAAATCAACTGCTACAGCAGTTATCCCAGAACCTGATATACTGAACAGTACAGGCCCCTACTAGTCAGTAACTGCAATGCAGCTGCGTGGAACACGGGGAAAGGGCAGCAGAAAAGGAGCGGTTCTTGATTTGTCTCTTCCCAGCTTACGGGTCCGGCCGGGCAGTTGTCAAGATGCTCAATCACTCAGTGTAAAACCTAATTGGGTTAATTGTGGCCTATTAATTAATACTACCTGGGAATGGGCAGAAATTTACTTATCCCACCTCTTCTAATCGGGATCATCTAAGTCAAAAGGCAACAAAATTTCACTTTTCAAAGAACAGAACTTTGAGATAGCCACCAAATGGGACCATGTAGAAAGGGACAGCCGGTGTCTCGGGTCACCTGTATGGACTCCTGACCAGGACTAAATGTTCTCTCCCCCGCCATGCCTCATAAGCACAAAAGTCTCAGTGTGCCAGAGATGTGACGGAAACCTCAGGGACCAAAGGAGCCATGGAGTCAGAAGTGATGGCATTATAGAAAATGCAGTTGTAATTCCTGATCAAGGGCATTTGTGGGCCAAGATTTATTATATCTGTTTCCCATGATACAGAGGAAAAACCCTTCCCACTAATTCAGTACCTGTCTCCAGC